AACAATGAACAAGTCAAAAAAAACATGAAAGGGCTCGCGCACGTTGGGGAGCGGGCCTGCACAAATTGATCCACGGCATCGGCCACCATGTAATTTCTTTCCATTGCCCGCGTAAGAACAACGCATATGCAGCGTATCGCAGCAGCAAACATTCGAAAAACATACTTGGAAACTTGAATATGTTGCAAAAAATGGTTGCATCAGCCGTCAGCCTGGTACAAGATGTGGCAGACTGCAGCTGGGTACCGCAAATCAGGCCTCAAAAAAGCATGCGCGTCAAGCCATGCATGATTTCATGGGACATACTATATAGAGATCCTTCTGTGCTGCCACGCATTTGCTTCTTCCGCATCTTTGTAATGTCTTCCGTGGTGCGAACTTTCCTTTCTGCTGTCTCACAAATCATTGGAAAAAACAAGGTCTTTCGCGACTTTTCTACCTTTTCGCGCACCTGCATCTTCTTTCTTCTGACTCTTTCTCTTTTCTGATCCTCTTTCTTCTTCTCTTCTCTTCTCTTCTCTTCTCTGATTCTTCCCACCTCTGCTTTTCCATCTGTCCATATTGTCGGAAGCTTGACTTCTAAACTTCCTTCGAATATATAGTAAACCATGCCCAAATTTACCATATTTATGGGTTGGATTCCAACAACTAGACGACGGGTGGCCCGAGAGCGTAGAGGAGCAGAGTCTTCTGTTGTTAGTATGGAGACACTATATTACAAGATAATATGATAAAGATGTATTATAGGCAGACGAGAAGAGTAGTATCAAGACAATATATGACTAGTACAAGACAATAGTTTGCATCGTATTTTTGTAAAGTTTTTCATACACAGAACTTTTTACAGACAGACGCTTTTGCACACAGAGACTTTTACACACAGACGCTTTTACACACAGACGATTTTGCATACAGAGACTTTTACACCCAAACACTTTTACACACAGAGACTTTTACATACACAGACGCTTTTACACACAGAAGCTTTTACACACAGACGCTTTTACACACAGACGCTTTTACACACAGACGCTTTTACACACAGTTGCTTTTACACACAGGCACTTTTACACACAGACGCTTTTACACACAGAGACTTTTACACACAGACGCTTTTACACACAAGCGCTTTTACACACAGACGCCTTTACACACAGACGCTTTTACACACAGACGCTTTACACACAGACGCTTTGCTTTTACACACAGACCCGCTTTTACACACAGAGAGGCTTTTACACACACACACACGCTTTTACACACAGACGCTTTTACACACAGACGCTTTTACACACAGACGCTTTTACACACAGACGCTTTTACACACAGACGCTTTTACACACAGAGGCTTTTACACACACAAGCTTTTGCACACAGACGCTTTTGCACACAGACGATTTTACACACAAACACTTTTACACACAAACACTTTTACACACAAACACTTTTACACACAGACGCTTTTACACACAGACGCTTTTACACACAGATGCTTTTACGCACAGACGCTTTGACACACAGATGCTTTTACACACCAGACGCTTTGACACACAGACGCTTTTACACACAGAGGCTTTTACACACAGAAGCTTTTACACACAGACGCTTTGACACACAGACGCTTTTACACACAGAGGCTTTTACACACAGAAGCTTTTACACACAGACGCTTTTACACACAGACACTTTTACACACAGATGCTTTTACGCACAGACGCTTTGACACACAGATGCTTTTACACACAGACGCTTTGACACACAGACGCTTTTACACACAGAGGCTTTTACACACAGACGCTTTTACACACAGACGCTTTTACACACAGACGCTTTTACACACAGACGCTTTTACACACAGACGCTTTTACACACAGAGGCTTTTACACACAGAGCCTTTTACACACAGACGCTTTTACACACAGACGCTTTTACACACAGACGCTTTTACACACAGACGCTTTTACACACAGACGCTTTTACACACAGACGCTTTTACACACAGACGCTTTTACACACAAACGCTTTTACAGACAGATGCTTTTACACACAGACGCTTTTATACACAGACGCTTTTACACACAGACGCTTTTACACACAGACGCTTTTACACACAGAGACTTTTACACACAGTTGCTTTTACACACAGACACACACAGACGCTTTTACACACAGAGGCTTTTACACACAGAAACTTTTACACACAGACGCTTTTACACACACACGCTTTTGCACACAAACGCTTTTGCACACACAGTCTTTTACACACAGACGCTTTTACACACAGACGCTTTTACACACAGACAAGTCCGGCACAGGAAAAATCGCAATTTTTCCTCAGTTTTTGACGATCGACCCTCATTTCGTGCGAAAGGGTTGCTCCAGGACAAGTAAAATCGCAATTTTTCATCAGTTTTTGACGATAGACCCTCATTTCGTGCGATAGGGTTGCTTTAGCACAAGTAAAATCGCAATTTTACCTCAGTTTTTGACGATCGACCCTCATTTCGTGCGAAAGGGTTGCTCCAGGACAAGTAAAATCGCAATTTTTCCTCAGTTTTTGACGATCGACCCTCATTTCGTGCGAAAGGGTTGCTCCGGCACAAGTAAAATCGCAATTTTTCCGCAGTTTTTGACGATCGACCCTCATTTCGTGCGAAAGGGTTGCTTTAGGACAAGTAAAATCGCAATTTTTCGTCAGTTTTTGACGATCGACCCTCATTTCGTGCGAAAGGGTTGCTTTAGGACAAGTAAAATCGCAATTTTTCTTCAGTTTTTGACGATCGACCCTCATTTCGTGCGAAAGGGTTGCTTTAGGACAAGTAAAATCGCAATTTTTCTTCAGTTTTTGACGATCGACCCTCATTTCGTGCGAAAGGGTTGCTCCGGGACAAGTAAAATCGCAATTTTTCCTCAGTTTTTGACGATCGACCCTCATTTCGTGCGAAAGGGTTGACATTTCGTGACTCGCCGCCGGCACCACCCTCGGCCTTAAGAGAGAAAGATAAAGAAGGCGAGAGAGAGAAAAGAGAGAGAGATGTGAGAGAAGATGTGAAGATGAGCAGATGTGAAGATGAGAAGATGTGAGAGAAGGTGTGAAGATGAGCAGATGTGAAGATGAGCAGATGTGAAGATGAGCAGATGTGAGAGAAGATGTGAGAGAAGATGTGAAGATGAGCAGATGTGAGAGAAGATGTGAGAGAAGATGTGAAGATGATGTGAAGATGAGCAGATGTGAGAGAAGATGTGAGAGAAGATGTGAAGATGAGCAGATGTGAGAGAAGATGTGAAGATGAGCAGATGTGAAGATGAGCAGATGTGAGAGAAGATGTGAGAGCAGATGTGAGAGAAGATGTGAGAGAAGATGTGAAGATGAGCAGATGTGAGAGAGAGATGTGAGAGAAGATGTGAAGATGAGCAGATGTGAGAGAAGATGTGAGAGAAGATGTGAGAGAAGATGGGAAGATGAGCAGATGTGAGAGAAGATGTGAAGATGAGCAGATGTGAAGATGAGCAGATGTGAGAGAAGATGTGAGAGAAGATGTGAAGATGAGCAGATGTGAGAGAAGTGAAGATGAGCAGATGTGAGAGAAGATGTGAGAGAAGATGTGAAGATGAGCAGATGTGAGAGAGAAGATGTGAGAGAAGATGTGAAGATGAGCAGATGTGAGAGAAGATGTGAGAGAAGATGTGAAGATGAGCAGATGTGAGAGAAGAGAGCAGATGTGAAGATGAGCAGATGTGAAGATGAGCAGATGTGAAGATGAGCAGATGTGAGAGAAGATGTGAGAGAAGATGTGAAGATGAGCAGATGTGAGAGAAGATGCGAAGATGAGCAGATGTGAAGATGAGCAGATGTGAGAGAAGATGTGAGAGAAGATGTGAAGATGAGCAGATGTGAGAGAAGATGTGAAGATGAGAAGATGTTTTACAGACCCCCACTATTGGAAGAACCCTGCGCTCAGACGCTCTCGGGAATAAATTTATATGTGTGGTTTATGAAATTGCGTTACGAGTATGAACCAAAGCGTCCCATTCGCAGCTGGCCAAATGGGTGACACCGCTGGTCTTCGTTAGACTACAAACAACGACAGAGAAAACTATCGCCTAGAACTAAGAAGATAGTTGCCATTGCTATTATATTAAATACATGATTGAATATACGGACTTGCAAGTACAGATATGCTGTTGTTTGATTTTGGAGAAGACTGCACGTGGACGATCTGGGTTTGTTGGGTAGAATCGGAGAATGTTTCTTTGAAAACACATGATCTTTTTTGGGGCAGTATGTGTATTGAATAGTTTGCCGTCATGACGCAAATACATGGAATTGATACGGATTCGTTATATGTTTGTTCATATTATAGGACTCATGGACTCATATAACTATAAACTCTTTTTTGGGGCCAACCAGAGCCTAATGATTCAGCCCCTGCTTTAATTTCACCAATCATGAATCAGTTGCGGCAGCCAGGGCCCCGTGATGGTACTTGGACTTGCATCCCATTTTGTAAGGGGTTTGCAAGGCACAAGCCATCAGTCTAACTGTGAGATTCCAACCCAGTCATGTTACTGGACCATGTCATATGGTTGTCCCTTCAACTATTTCTCGCGGTCACGACGACTGGGTTCATACCAATTGTGGTAATTAAACGTAACTGGTTGATATCCATCATTAGTGCTTGTAACTACATACATGGATATAATATATATATATATGTGGACATATTCCATATGTAATTATAACATATCTATATATATATGTATACATATATGTGGACATACTGTGGATGGAAGAAATCCTGCACCAGTTGATAGCTGATTTATCCTATTCACAGGGTTTTAACCATCCAAGGTGATGCAGGATTTTTTCCACCCACCGTATTGTCATATATAATGATATATATATATATAAATAACATATGTAAATTATTCAAATGGCTGTAGTAACTGGGATGCAGCAAGTATACCTGGCTCCAATCTTGGCGTCTTGGGGTCCTGGCTTCAAAGGCTGCAGCATTTCCACCGCCACCTGGCTGCCAGGCGCCAGCGGATGGGTTTCTCAGTGGGTAGACACAAGCATTGATGGTTAAGAATGCTGGTACGAGTCTAATTTCACTAATATGATGTATACATATATATATATATATATGTTTGTTATATATACATAATACATATATCAAAAATATCAAATATAATATACATTATATATGTTATAAATACTCTAACTCTCACATTTGCATTCGTGAAGCTGACCCTTCTTTATGTTTTTTGGGAATATCATAGGTTGTTTTAGGTACACATCTTGTGCAAGCAGTGCTGGCAATACCCAAACTCAATTTGATTCTGTTTTTCTCCAAACTTGTACCTTTTCTATTGCACCTTCCTTCTTTTAGAAGGTGCACAACCCTGCTGTCCATAGCTCGGAGGGTACGTTTCCTGGATTGAGAACGTTTCCTGGATTGAGAACGTTTCTTGGATTGAGTACGTTTCTTGGATTGAGAACGTTTCCTGGATTGAGAACGTTTCTTGGATTGAGTACGTTTCTTGGATTGAGAACGTTTCCTGGATTGAGAACGTTTCTTGGATTGAGTACGTTTCTTGGATTGAGAACGTTTCCTGGATTGAGAACGTTTCTTGGATTGAGTACGTTTCTTGGATTGAGAACGTTTCCTGGATTGAGAACGTTTCTTGGATTGAGAACGTTTCCTGGATTGAGAACGTTTCTTGGATTGAGTACGTTTCTTGGATTGAGAACGTTTCTTGGATTGAGTACGTTTCTTGGATTGAGTACGTTTCTTGGATGGAGTGCGTTTCTTGGATTGAGTACGATTCTTGGATTGAGTACGTTTCTTGGAATGACTACGTTTCCTGGATTGAGTTCCCCACCCAGCAGCCCCATCCCATTTCCAGATCGCCTCCATCAACTCTGCAAAAGTAAAAAGTACGTTCCAAAAAGAACGATGTCGTTTTTGCACACCTTCTATGGTTTTAGCTTCATAAATCTCACATTCGCATTCGTTATGGCCAACATACTTTCTACTTTTTTACAACTTCATTCTGTGCTCCCCGAAAGTTAAAACACCGTTTCCTGGATTGAGTACGTTTCCTGGATTGAGAACGTTTCCTGGATTGAGAACGTTTCCTGGATTGAGTACGTTTCCTGGATTGAGAACGTTTCCTGGATTGAGAACGTTTCTTGGATTGAGTACGTTTCCTGGATTGAGAACGTTTCCTGGATTGAGAGCGTTTCTTGGATTGAGTACGTTTCTTGGATTGAGTACGTTTCCTGGATTGAGAACGGTTCTTGGATTGAGAACGTTTCCTGGATTGAGAACGTTTCTTGGATTGAGTACGTTTCTTGGATTGAGAACGTTTCTTGGATTGAGTACGTTTCTTGGATTGAGTACGTTTCTTGGATTGAGTACGATTCTTGGATTGAGTACAATTCTTGGATTGAGTACGATTCTTGGATTGAGTACTTTTCTTGGATTGAGTGCGTTTCCTCGATTGGCAGTGCGACCATGATCTCAAGCATGCAAAAACCACCTTAGGACATCACTGGGTCTGCCACTGAACTGACACAACCGATCTCCAGGAGAAATGGGCATCAATCAAATTTTTGCATCTCCCCCAGCTTAAAAGAACGATAAAGGTATTGAGACCGAATGTTGGAAAAGAATGCGCATTCATGGGTTAGAAATACATATAAATATGCTATGTGATATTATATGATATTATATGATACTATATGATATTATATTATATCATAGTATATGATATTAAATTATATTATATTAATTTATATATGTTATACATATATCTGTTATATTATATTATAGTATATTATATTATGTTATATTATATTATAGTATATGATATCATTTATTATTTTATTATATTATATTTTAATATATAATTATTATATCATATTATAACAATATTATATTATATTAAATTATATTTTATTATATTGTATATGATATGATATTAAATTATATTATATTATAAGATATACTATATATTATATAATATTATATTATTCTCCTGTTTTATTATGTTATATTATATTTACTATATCATAAATACATATACCCCATTGTATATATATATATGATATGAACACAACGAACATATCATAATGACCGTAATGCTGGTAATGATATAGTAATGACAATAATGGTACTTATGATGCTGTTAATGACAATCGTGATAAGCAATAAGAACATTGGAAACACATAAAACGTGTGAACACGACCCAAATATGTTGGTCCCCTGGGTCTAAATATTTGACGGATACTGACACATGGCCAAAACTTGATGTACTGATTGCTTGTGATGGTTTTCCTGTCCTTGTCAAATCCATGGTCATATGCAAAAAATGCAATGTATAAACTTACCATATACTGGTTGGTGGTTGACCTACCCCTCTGAAAAATATGAGTTCGTCAGTTGGGATGATGACAGTCCCAATATATGGAAAGTCATAAAAGCCATGTTCCAAAGCACCAACCAGCTATAAACTTACCATATACCCTCTGGTAAACTAACATACTATGGGAAATCACCATTTTTCATGGGTATATCAACTAGAAATGGCCATTTTCAATAGTTATGTTAAATTACCAGAGGGTACCAATGGGATTCTTGCCCGCAGGGCACTTGAAATTCATCGACAACCATGACCACCATGTGCCACATCTCCAGCGATTTGCCCTGGCGAAGCTGCTACCGGCCCACAAAGTGATGCTTTCCACCATCTGTTGGATCTTTTGGCGCCATTGCAACCATCTACAACCATAAATGACTGCAACCATCTAATTCTACGGGCAGGATACTATAGGATCTATGGCTTATTGCCACAGATCATTACAACATATTACAACATATTACAACCATCTAAGACCATGAGTGTTTCACCAACAATTTCTCCAATCCTTCACTTTTCCGTCCTCAGTTCTTCTGGGAAGCCGCACAGTGCATCGCCATGTGTATGGCCTGCAGGAATCTCGCGAAGGCTCTGAGTCCGGCTGGCGAATAGGCACAGTCCACTCTGAGAAATGCTGCTGATCAAATCCAAATACAGGTTGGTTGAGTTGGTTGGTCCTTGTATATTCTTGTGTTTCTGAAAACTGTATAAAATCGTGTGATTCGCCAAAGTCAAAAATGCAAGGTCATAGCTGCCAAGTGGGTCCTTGTCCACTATCGCTGTCCAATGAAAAGCTGTCCATCACCACCAGGAAAATTGGCCTCAACGGTGCCATTTTGATGCCCGAAAATTCCAGTGCTACAGAACGTCACGTTCGCGAAATCCGTCCTCGCCTGTGCCCATTTGGTGGCATTCTGACAAGCATTCACAGCAGCACCTGGAAGCCGCGAGTTTCCTGCTCATCTTCTCTGCTGAGCCACTCGTATATAATATTAATATATATATATATACATATATTATATATATATAATTAATAATATGTATAATATATATATTAATATGACTTGACAGTCAACTATATATTTGGTCACCATCCTATCTATATTATGATAAATTATGATAGATTCTGATAGATATACCCTCTGGTAATTTAACATATAGGAAAATGGTGTCCATAGATGGTTTACCTATATCGAAAATACTGGATTTTTCATGGCTACTGCTACTATGTTAGCTTACTGGAGGGTACATGGAGGAAACATCAAACATCATTAGAAAAACATCTTGAAATCAGAAGTCGTTAAGGCATTCGCCGTGCATTCCACTGATCAAAAAAGGTGGATCTCCGTGGGAGGGCGAAGATTGGATCACAATTGTTATGGCATTCCGATCCAACAAAACCTGTTGTGCCTTTCCAGTTTCCCAACATGCAATCCAAAACACACCAGTTTTCGTTGGCGTGTTCATTGACGGATTTTTGGTGACATGACCCGGCCCATGCAGTGCCTATGGCCACGGCGTCTGGATCCAGTCGTCGATGATTCTGATCTTGGAGAAAGTGCAAGGTGAGTTGCCATCCTCAGCATCGCAGAGCAGTGCGGGGATCATGTTGCGCTGGCAGATGTGTAACAACAGCTGTGGTGTTCACCCAAATATAGAGGACATATCATGAAATGCACAGGAAATGGAATTTATTCGGCCATGGTTACTGAATGGTATTAATATGTGTTAACTACGTATATCTACGTGTATATTTCCTATCACTGGGATGCTGCTCCAAATAGATACATCTGTCTGACCGCCGCAGGGGTAAACTGGGAATTAACTTGTCATGACTATTATGTCGGTATGTCCGCAAATCCTGAACATGGTGTATTGGTAAAAGTGAGAGTCCCCCAGTCTTGCATACATACGGATGCAATGAGAGATTTAGGTCCAACATTGACCAACAGGCTGCTCCAGTACTTGATCTATGGGATGTAATTGATCTATGGGATGTAGCATGCTAAGACTAGCTGCGCAAAGTGATAGCCAGCATGACACTTGATTTAAACAACTCAAGTGCTTGGAGGAAACTATGCCGAAACCTCTGTGCCAGGCTTGCCATGTCATCCTGTTTTTCAAGCAGCCAGTCTAGTTCACCCAGGATCAGCGTTGACTTCAAAACTGGGGCATCCCCGTTTTTTTTCGAAGTGACACCATTGTTGCATGCTAAAATCAACGAGATCCCAAGTGTTTCCTGCCTAAATCTCAATGTTTGATCATTGAATGCCCATTGTTTCTTCATGAGCAACACCTATTTTTTGTGGATTATATAAATCCAACTTGTTGCTCTTAAAACGAACTTTCTGCTGGTTGGTTTCCACTTTTTCTGGATTTACCCAAGATCTCAAGGGTACACGTGAACACCCACATGTGGAAAAACCCATATGAAAAACCCAGGTTCAGATTTTCCGGCCGAGGCGCGCGCAGCGCGCCCCAGACTGGTCATCAAGGCATTGCGACCTTTTGTAGCTGACAATCGGGACGGTTCCTGTGGAAGAAATTTACCGGGGGGCCTGGTGTTTCCATTGTTCCCCACCTGCCAGGTGAGGGTTGTTAGATTTTATCAGAGCTGTTCTCCTCCTCCTCCTCCTCGGCTAGCTGGCCTCCTCCTCCTCCTCGTCCTCCTCCTCCTTCCCCTCTAGTTTCTCCTCGACCATGTCTGCATCAACTTCCACCTCCACTTCCGACTTGCCAACTCTTCGCCAAGCTCTTTGCCAACTCTCTTCGCCAAGCTCTTTGCCAACTTCACAGCTCAGTGTGCACTGGGACCTCAACCTGGGACCTGCCCAGCTCAGTGTGCACCGCTGGACCTCAAGCTCAGTGTGCACCGCTGGACCTCTTCCAGGGACCGTCTCGGCTCAGTGTGCACCGCTGGGCCTCAACCTGGGACCTGCCCAGCCCAGTGTGCACCTCAACCTGGGACTTGCCCAGCGCAGTGTGCACCGCTGGACCTCAACCGGGGACCTCCCCAGCTCAGTGTGCACTGCTGGACCTCAAGGGGCAGATAGAATGCCAGAAGATATGCCAGATAGAATGTCAGATGGAATGCCAGAAGATATGCCAGATAAAATTCCATGAGATATGCCAAATAGAATGCCAGAAGATATGCCAGATAGAATGCCAGAAGATATACCAGATACAATGCCAGAAGATATGCCAGATAGAATGCGAGAAGGTATGCCAAATAGAATGCCAGATAAAATATCAGATAGACCGCCACAAGATATGCCAGATAGAATCCCAGAAGATTTGCCGGATCGAATGCCAGAAGATATGTCAGATAGAATGCCAGAAGATTTGCCAGTAACAAATCGATAAATGTCATGGTCGGGATCACTCGAAGTAAAGTATTTTTTTCTCGGGAAAAATTGGGAAACATATGGAAACATCATGTTGTTGTTTCCATATTTTTTCGTGGGGTAGTATTAAGATGTTTTAGTGGAAAACTGGTGATTTGACTTGCATGTGTGATGACTTAATGGGGATATATTATGGGGATAAAAAAATAGATATAGCAAAAATTAGCAAAGCTGGACACCTGGAAACTAAATCCTGAAACTTCTTCTGAATCTGCTTGGGGACCTCTATACAGGAAAGGGGCGTCCCTGACATTTTCTCATCATGTTCTGGGAATCGGGGGTTCTTGCAGGAAAAATATGATAAGATGAGATAAAATGTAGCAATAACAAATGGTGATACCAAAAACAAACATTTCAAGGCCCCACCTAGCAAAGAACAATGCCATGAAGAGTGACAAAATTGACCATGGGTAGGTTTGGAGGATCAAGTTTGGGTTTCACGAAGAGTTTCATTCCTAGATTCAGTAGATTCAGCTCTCCGGACCGCTGGATTCAAGTTGGAGTGTTCAAGGCACAGGAGCAAATGAATCTCAGAATATGAAAATATGGATCTATATACAACATTATACAACATTGGTTGTAGCATCCATCGAAAATGGCTTCCAGAGTACGACAATTACGAGTACCAAGGGCATAACATATACAGTAATATGATGTATATATTATGTTTCCAAAGTTGGCGGAGTCAACTCTCCCGCACAAATGGGCACATGACGGCACATGGGGATGTATTGTTACCGGCAAAACCATCAACCAAAGCCCTCTCCATCAGAGCCACCCTGCAAATGAGATGAGAGCGAAGATCCAGAAAATCCTGGTGGATGTGATATGATGTGATCCAAGATCCTACTCCACGGATGTTGGGATGGTAAATTGTGAATGAGTCAGGACAAACGCCTGCATATGGCACACAGTCTGTGAATTTTGTGATGAAACATGAGGATTCAACCAACTACCCCCAATCAAAATACTTCATATAGTCGCCTTTTTGAATGGTTGTTGGTTGTTTTCGAGCCCCTAATAATGCCTTCGTACATAATTCTTCATTATCGGAGGGAAATCACAGACCCGGGGGGGTTGCCTTGTGGTCGCTACCAGCGGCTGGGTTCTGATGGTTCCCTATGGGAATTGCCGATAACTTACATCCCCATGCCATGTCTAGTGGCGATACGCACCATGATTGTTGCAGTTTTAAACATTCTTCCACATTGCTGTGTCCAGGAATGGGTCATTACATCAAAATTGCAACGTACCCTCCGGCCAAACTGGCGTGCTGGAAAACCTATCATTGAGTTCGATGATTTTGGCAGCTATAGACCCCAATTGATCGGAGTTTTTTCATTGCCACCTTAGCTGTGGCACCTGGACATCTTGCCATAGTTGTAGTGCTCCTTTGCACTGTGTACCTGGGAACATGCAGAGGACCTTGGGAGGGCTTGAGTTCATTTCACCTCGCAGCCGTGGTCTTTACATCGAAGGAAACTAACAAGGCTGACTGATGCTAATTAGCTAATTGTCCAACATGTGTGCATGTGCCAAAACTCTGAAAAAAAAACTGGAAGGTCAAATCCTGAAAATGCCACGGTTCCAAAGGACCCAAAACCAACTGTGACCCATTTTGACTCAAGTTCGGCTCAAATATGAGGTACCAGTGTGCATCTTGTGTATCGGTTGTCTTTATTTGGGTTTACCCATCCCATTCTTGGCGGTAGGATTTGTGCACAGGAATCGGATAGTGATATCAACCTGCAGCGTATCTCAATGGTTTCCAGTTTCCAGTCATCAATGGCTTAATCCTAGATACTCTAATTACGAGAAAATAATTTGGCTATTATGTTCACAGATATTTATACTGTAGAACATCAAATTATATGTTTCCATTTACACCACAAAATATGTTGTTTCCATTTACATCAAAAAATAGAATATCAAACTATAAAACCAATTGTTATTTCCACCGCTTCTCAGGTTTTCACTTGGCCAAAAAGATGCCAAGTGAAGAATCTCATCCCACTTGGTACTGTAACTGGTTGATAACCCTGTCCCCACTTTCTGGGTTTACCCCATTTATGATTGGATGACCAAGGGTGCTTGAACCCAATGATTTATGGGGGGGGTCATTATTTATTCCAATATGATGTGATTCAAGTTATGTTTTTTGACATTTATATGATTCATATCAACTTCAATATATGACGATTTAATTGTTGACATTTAAGTCATATCAACATCAATATATACTGGTTGGTGGCTTCAACTCCTCTGAAAAATGATGGAGTTCGTCAGTCGGGATAATGAAATTCCCAATACATGGAAAGTCATAAAATTCCATGGTTCCAAACCACCAACCAGATATATTGTTATTCGTTATTCCAATTATTAACCATTATTAACCATTATTAACCATAGATTAACCATAGATTAACCAGGAAAATTCATGTCCCAGTCACCACCAAGCAGAAAAAAACATAACACATTCAGACTCGGTGGCACTCGGATCCAGGGTCCCCAGGCCGGTGGCCATGGCACTCAAGGCAGCGCCGACGCCGTTTCCGCCATGTCGCTGGCCATCGGCCTGCTGTTTCGCTGTCCATGTTTATTTGGTACCAAGTACCAGCAAACCACCAGCAAAGTACCAGCAAAGTACCAGCAAAGTACATATGTAATCATCATTATCATCATTATTATAAGATATTATAAGATGGGAACCCCAGTATTTCTGGTGCAAACCATGTGCAAACCTAGGGTGTGTTCATCCGAAGTTCACAAGGAACATCGAGGTTGATCCTGGTGAAACTCCTGGAAGAGAGCTAGGGCCTCAGAAATCCAGCCAATCCAGCCATGAATAGACGCACCCGATTTAGGACCTGCGGACTGCAGGAGTTCTTCCAGACAAGTCCCCTCAGTTTCAAGAAAAACTATATACCCATAATATCATATAATATCATATAATATCATATAATATCATATAATATCCTATGATATCCTATAATATCCTATAATATCCTATAATATCCTATAATATCATATAATATCATATAATATACTTCGACCCTGATATACAGCTATTCATTATGATTCATATACATATTCCATGGGATCAAAGTTGTGAAGTCCCATTCCGCATGACCCGAAACGATACGCAGCTGCTTGGAGCCCCCCACTTCTTGCCACAACCAGCTCCGTTCCAACGCGCTCAAAGCTGCACTTTGGCCCACAGCATTGGGCCTTGAAAGCAATCGGAGTATGGAGAAATCGGATGCTGGTAAACTATAGTTTATTTTAATGTTAATGGTGATATACCCATTTTCAATACTAATCAAAAACATAACTATTGAAAATTGCCATAGAAACAGTTGACTATAGTTAATTTACCCAGTAAAGATGGTGGTTTTCTATAGTTATGTTAGTCTGTTAGTTTACCAGAGGGTACATCTTGTCAGACGTGCTTGGCGTAAACATATAACTGATATACTATCATGTTGCAAGATGTTAAGATATATCAGGGATTGCTTGTATCCCACCTGTGAGCAATCTAGAGATTGATGTTTGCATATTCTTGGTATGTTGAGTTAAAAAACCTCACCAAATTTGGTCCCCTTTGATCTGAAAAAAACAAATAAACATGTATCAAATGTTAAATCTGACATTAAAAAATACAACTCTTACTTAAGACAAAAAACCATGGTAGTCATTAAAATAGACTTATATAATACATTCTGGAAAATGCGATCGAATCTTGCAATAAGTAAAACATTTAACAAAACAAAATGTAGTTTACTATCTTGTCACACAGAACAAGGACTACAAAAACTCTGAGATTTCCGGAATCATCAACACGTTAGACATATGTATAACCGTGTATAAGAAATTGGGGACGCCAGAAACCCCCAAATCCACAATCGCATCTGAAACAAACATAGCCAAAACACGAAGGCTTGAATCTTCCACTGCTGGTGATGGTCCCTTGCTGGATGTCCCTGTCTGCTCTAGATGGAAGAAATATTTCACACCACAGGTCTAGCAGAAATCGTGGAACCATGCGACGCGGCCATGGTGAGATTGTCTTCTGTGCATCTGAAATCTTCTGAATCAACATCTAAAGAGCTTGGAATCAGATAATGCAGATATGTTCAACTTCAACTATCAGATATTTCAACTGTTTTCCAACTTCACCTTAGAGATAATTCAACTATTTTCAACTTCAACTAACTTCAACTAACTTCAACCCCCTTTTGCAGCCCCGAAAATTCACCTCCCGACCCGCTGGGCACGCCCCACGGCCCGAGCTTCCAGTGCTTCAAATACTGCAGCAGCCACAAGGTCTCCTCGACTCAAACGAAACGCATCAAGGATAATCCATGTAGAACTGAGTAAGATCCCACATATTCCGACATTTAACTGGTTTTTATAAATGTATGTGTATATATATATTATTAAATATATATATATATATATTATTGAATATATATATATATATTATTGAATATATATATATATATATTGAATATATATATATATATTATTGAATATATATATATATTATTGAATATATATATATATATTACCACTATTATTATTATTATTACTATTATATATACACATATAATATACACATTATTATTATTATGTATATACATATATATTGAATGAGTATTTCATAGTTGTTTACGCACTTGCGGTGCTGGCGATGCACATCCAAATAGGTCGATGAAGAAACAACGATTGTGCTCCCGGCTGAAGACCTTCAAGACTCTAACTTTCCATGGAATATATATATATATATATATATAACTATATATACATAAAATATATGCCGGAACTAGGGTTCCACAACAGGCTGAATTCAACTAGGATCAGGGCTTACTCCAGGAATTTCATGAGACCATCCACAAATGCTCCCTTGAAACACTGAAGATGTTCATTGAATATCTATTGTCATTGCCATGTTTCCTGGAAGATCTGGAAGTTGTTCTTATCATTGGGATGATTTTAAGGATAAACATCTGCGCGAAACAAATAGATGTTTTAGTGTTCAAATTAAAAAATAAACGTGACCCAAACAAAAATCCCTTTAAACAGATCGCAGGGTCTCGGAGTTTTTTGCGACCCATCCTGCCAGCGAGCGCCCTTGGCACAAGCGCCGAGACCTGTCTTTGTGACCTCTTTAGAGGCCACTTAGACCCCCCCCAAAAAAGATGTTTCTTTGCCAAGTGACCTGTCTTTATCGGTTTGAGTTCCCCAAATGAGGCTTGGATACAGGTTCCGTGCTGCATGCCTCACGTGTTGCAGTACTTTGGGGCTTAGATTGCCTCTTTTTCATGCGTGTCAGTGGGGATTCTTGAGAAAGAGGTCACTTAGCATGTAAAAAGGAGTCACTTATATAGCATGTAGAAAGAGGTCCTTTGGCGTTTTGATGCATTTTGACCGTGGTGTGTGTCAATGCGTGTTTCAGCGTGTCAGAAGGTCACTTAGGCGACAGTGCAGGATGCGGATCCTAAGGATAACTAAGTGACCTCTCTGATAGCCTAAGTGACCCTTTGATAAACGGCATGTAACTGGCTAAGAGACAAGTCAGGTTCACATTGAGTGGCAAAAGCAATATACATATATGTATAATTGTATAATTATATATATACCTGTGTCCCATTCATATTCCGTTTATATCCCATTACAACCCATATACATGTATGCTATATATGGTAACATTTAACATCAATATACCCCCAATGTTAGCATATATATACCATACATGGATCCTATGGGCAATATCACCTGGTTGATATGAGGCGACCGGCTACGACGTGGCCTGCGCTGATGGCGTAGGCATCAAGGGATGGCCTGAAAGGGCTGTCGAGACAGGGGGAAGTCAGCCAAACCCGTTGAAACCCAGCATGAAAGCTGTTGAAACATAGCGATCATAGCGGAAGGTTTCATTTTTTCAAGTGCAAGGCTATAAAATCCTATAACCATGTCACGGATGATCATTTTTTTGTATGGACAACCTACAACCATGCATTAACATGGGTTTGCAGTCCAAAACTGAACCCGTGTGGGTGAGCTGTGGCTCCAACTTTCAAATATATATATATATAACACCTCAGTTGTAGCCCATCGTCGCTTTTCAAGCGCAAAACAATGCAGCTATGCCCTGCTGGATGTGGTCGCATCCTTTCTTTCATCAAAGATTCGCGTGCGCTTCTGCATGGCAGCAACGGCTACCAGGAAGACAAGGAAGGACAGAAGAAAGTGATGGGTGGAAACCCAGTGGAAGTGCAACCTGAGATCAGGAAAATGCAGATCCCATTTTTTTATCCTGTGGGGTCTTACCTGCCTTGTGGTTTGTAAACATGATAATGCATGATAATTGCCTATGAAGAGTTGTACTAATCCCATCAAGCCTCGTGGCAATCGAGATGACCTTCTTCCCTGCGCATTGATGCCTCTTCAGCAGTGCTGTACTTGCTCTAAAACTGAGACCTCCAACTGCGAAGTTGTCCAATCTCAACATATCCTAGTCTATATATATATAAAGATATATATATATATACTCAAAAGCTGATCTGTTCGGTGAAAGGAAAAGTCAATGCGTGCTGCATAAGATTTCCCAACATATTCCAATTCCAACACCTGCCACCGGCTGCGTCGAGTCAAGCTGTCAAGCTCCGAGCAGCACACAGAGAGTAACCATAATCCCCAGGAAGCCGCCACTGAGGACGTCGAAGCAATGATGTGCCCAGAAATACATACCTGAAAAAGAGCAGTAATAAACACCGCTTGGAAAATCCTCCACATATGTATGTATGTATGTATGTATGTATGTATGTATGTATGTATGTATGTATGTATGTATGTATGTATGTATGTATGTATGTATGTATGTATGTATGTATGTATGTATGTATGTATGTATGTATGTATGTATGTATGTATGTATGTATGTATGTATGTATGTATGTATGTATGTATGTATGTATGTATGTATGTATGTATGTATGTATGTATGTATGTATGTATGTATGTATGTATGTATGTATGTATGTATGTATGTATGTATGTTTGTATGTATGTATGTATGTATGTATGTATAATAGGTATATACAAAAACGTACTGGGTTCCGCCCAGTATGTGTATATATCTTAATGGGGATTTCCATAATGGATTGTGTTCTCCCTTGGATGAATGCTTGAGTTTAATGGGAAAATCACAAAGAATCACACATTTTGCTTGTCCCCAACATGTCAAAATGGGTTCAACCACTGACAATTCTGAGCCTGAAGGATTGGTTCCACTGTTCTTGAGATGTCTTGAGCCTGAACGATGTCTCAATCTTAACCTGGAATCAAAACCCATGAATGCATATGAATGTTGTGTTGACCCTGTCATCATTCCAGTTTCTATGTATTAGTAACAAGAACCCCGAAGGAGGTCAATGAGGGTCCCATGTCCCATCCCACCCTTACCTTCTCATACCTTCTTCCAAGGCGCGGCCGAAACAGGCGAAGGCGAAGAACATCAGAGCCACCCAGGGTGCAGCCGGGTGATGCCAAAATCTCCACAGAAGGAAAGCATTCGCCGCCATCACAGCAGCATCGGAGCTGGGCAACGCTTCCCGGCTCTGCCCGCCTTTGCACATCGCCTGAGGGGGATGGATCAAGGGTCGAAGGTGATCCGCGGCTTTGGTATTTGGTTGAACTTCATGCTTACAAGATCTTACAAGGTTTCGAATTGATGATTCTTACTGATTGGACCTTTTAGGGTTGTTTTCTCTTGAACCAGCCTTTTCTTGGATTGCATCTGAGCAACAAAAAGTCACGTTCACAGCACGTTGAACTAAAGCATGCACAAATTTCCCACAGATTTTGCATGGATTACCCGGTAAAGTGACATAGCTATTAATAGCTATGGAAATTCCCCATTTTTACAAGTAAATCATCCGTAAATGGTCCATTTTCCCTTGGATTTCCCCAGAAGTCGGGCCATGACCTCGATGTAGGGCCACAGCAGCGCACTTCGTCGCGTCTTCTCCGCCCAGTTGGTGGCTGGCCGTGGGCGATCCGTCAGGGCCTTCAGGGGGATGGAGACGGCCACGGCCAAGGAAGCGCAAATGAGGCTGCACGTGCTCCTCAGTCATGGAGATATTCCCATTGGGAAAATGATGGGAAATTTTGGTTGGAAATATAGGAAATAGGGAATATGATCCGGAATATCATCTTCCATTACATACCAATAATATCCCAATAATGGGATGAGAAATCATGGGACTAAGATATAGCCATTGATGGGATAAACTGGGAATACTGATATAATTATTCGGATATTGGAGTGGGATATAATTCCCAATGGAATGGGAGAAATCATGGGAGAGATAGGTACTGTATATATATATCCATTGATGAATATAGGGAATATAGAATATCTACCGCATTGGGATATGAATGAGATATGATATGAATATAATTGGAAACATCATGGGAATATGACATTCCAGCACACACAAATAATATCCCAATAGTGGGGTGAACATAAATTATTTCTATCTATATCTATTTATCTATTTATCTATTTATATATTTATCTATTTATCTATCTATCTATCTGTCTGTCTATCTATCTATCTATTTATCTATCTATTTATCTATGTATCTATCTATCTATCTAACTATCTATCTATCTATCTACCTATCTATCTATCTATCTATCTATCTATCTATCTATCTATCTATCTATATATATACATATACATATACAATCATATACATATCATACAATATGAACCTCCATTTAGTCAATGTATATGTAATTATGTGTATATATATATATATCCATGATACCTCCTTGGGTTCGGTGATTTCCCATATATTAATTATTATATGTATATACGTATATATATATATACACCATGTATAGATGACCTTTTGTTTAGGGGAATTTCCAGCGAACGGTGATGAAAGCGGAGGCCCTATCACACCTTGGGCTTGACCGGAACAAACATATTGTGTGTTCTTTTAGCGAGAACATCCATAGCTCATAGCTCGCCCAACATGCCCATGATGGGGGTGTCCATAAATAGGATACCCCAATGGCTGGATGGTTTAATAGAAAATCCATTTATTGGATGAGAACTGGGGGTAGCCCCATGACTTAGGAACCCCCCATGATGGATTTGTGACATATTTCTTCAAGAAACCCATGGACTCTACATGACTCTACCATCCAGGGCTCAGCCACTTGATAGCACAGTGGGATTTTTAAACTCACCAATCCTAGCTGAGAATCGGATTCCCATTACAAACAAGGTGAGTTTCTCAATTGGTTACTAGTCACATGCGATGTAGTCGCTTGATATGTAAAATGTTCAGAAATGGTGTGATGTAGTAAATGTCAGTTCATGACAATTCCATCCCAAGATCGCTGGAAGTCGGGCTTTAAATTTTAAAGTTTTCCTCTTGAAATATGAATCCTGAACATGAACCTCCATTCAGTCCATGAGATACCCTTCCAAACACAATCAAAGAAATGAGCAAAGCCAATTTCACAGAATTTTTCGTGAAGTCTCTCCTCAAACACATGATTTTTCCAGAATCTTGGGAAGAAAGCATGTCTGAAATGGAGAAATGAAAGACTCAAACTCAAACCTTCAAAAATCGAGGCTCAGGTATGCTGCCTCAGGAGACAATTTGGAGCTTAAGACCAGACCTTGGCCAGGCACAGTTTATGGCAGGTTAAATGTGAACATGGTATAATCCGTGGCACTTTGAAGCAAAATCTCAGGTACCAAACCCATTGTTTGATGAATAGGCGTGATTTGTGTCTATTCAATTGTACCTGTGATGACAAATATCATGCTTTTGGGTGTGAAACCATCCAACTGCTTTCTTTTTTTATGTTGAAAAACACGAAAAACACGAAAACACACAATATGAGAGGAAATGGGTGATCTCTAGAGGTAAGCATGTCCAAAGAGTTGGAGTAAACAAATGCGAACTTTTGTTTATGTTTGTTTTTTGTTTTTGTATATATATATATAATTAGAATGCCAATGGTCACCACATATGGACATGATACATACATATACATACTATAGATTACTATCATACTGAAATGATCTATATGAACTTCTCTAGAACGGGTACTGTGGTTGGTTCTTTTGACATAACGGCAATCATACTCCCTTACATCCAGGAGATTCATAGGCTGAGAGAAACAGAAATCTATGTTGAAAGTCGAGGAACAGAGACCTGGCATGAGGAAAATCAGCAACCTCAACTTCAGCTGCGGAGAAAAGTTTTTTTTTACTGTTGAGCCACCTTTTCAACGCTGGCTTGGTCGCAACAAACAGGGAATTGAAGATACATGGACCTTGTTTAAGATTGTTTAACACCGTCCTCTGAATCTGTTTTGCACACGTTTGACTGTCACAGAATGAGAAAACGTTAGATTGAATCTTAAAGCGGTTGTGATCACTAGTTTCAGAGCCTGATCTGAGGAAACGTGACGAGGGTAGGGTGGGATCAACTGGATATCCCCAGTTTGAGACGCCAAGGACATGGCTGGCAGTATCCCTGACCGGCAATGGCGAAACTTCGACAGCCGGGCAATGGCAAGCATGGCTAGAAATCATCCCGCACCTACCAGAACCAAAAATCTCCAAAAATCCAACATCCCAAGATTACCCAAGGTGCCCAAAAAAAGGCTGCTTCCCCATGGTTCCCCCATATCTTCACAACACTTGACTCACTTGACCCAGCCCCAAGGCTCCAAGGCTCCGACTTGGTGGACTTGGTGAAGTTGATCCACCCAGCAAGGCCGGCGTAGAAACTGCCAACCCCCAGTGCCGAACTCAGCAGCAACGACTTCAGGGCGATGGCACTGGGAGTGGCCGCTGCAGCCAGAGCCTTGGCATGTGACACATGGCTGGAAACGGTGAGATCCGAAAGATTTGGTGATTTCTGGAAAGATCATCTTGCTATCAGGAGAAACGTTTGGAACAAATGTTTGGTTCAACTTTTTTTTGTTGGATAAACCGGTGGCAGTTTGCTGTTTGGCACCGAATTTCCTGGTGACTACAGACACAAAATTAAATGTGGAACGAATGCCAGGCTATCCAAAAGCCTTTTGGGAATCTGGTCTTCAAACCATGAATAAATGTCTCGCGATGTGGGTAACTCAAGCTCTGCCGCAAATATAAGCTCCGGGAAGTTTCAGTATGCAGAACATTGGGAAAGAGCTCTCAAATGAGAAAATGGTGCGCTTCATTTCATCAGTCTTTATCATGTACAATTCTCCCAGTGTGCTTTGGTTCACATCCAAAATAAAATGCTTTGAAAATAGGCTTGGACCATGACCTAAATCCAATAGTTTCTCAGAAAAAGTTTCTCATCATTCTCCCCCTTTCTGAGTGGCACTTTTTTCGGTTTGTTTTCCCTGACCGCGGCCAGGGGCCAGGGGTGTGGGCCCAAAGAAGGCGTGAGGGAAACCCATCAGCGCCCCCGGGACGGACAGGAGCAACTCCTCAGTGCCGGAGTCCGCTGATGGTCCCGATTTCCTGGGCTTTTCCCATAATCGGCTGTTAACATATGTATAACGGGTATATATATATAATATCGGTGGTGAAGTAATACAAGTAGAATAGGGTGATGCGTAACCTCAGTTACAGCCAGCAGTTACTACGTCTGAGACGATCCTCCAACTAGGCCTTCTACTCTTGTGTATCTTGAGGTAAACTTCCGTTGACTATGCAGATTATGTACCTTGCAATTCTATTTTAACAATGTTCAACATATTATTAAACAGAACAGTGATATAGTGCTGATACATGTACATGCTGTTTTTGACATTAATTTCAAGTATTTCATGGTTTTCAGCCCCCCTAGTTCCAGTCCCATAGCCAAAACTCAACCAGGCATCCATCCACTTTGGCAAGTTCAAGCGAAACACAGGTTGGCTTAGACCTGGGTGGCACCAGGCTGATTTTCTCGGCTTTGGTAAAATCAGCTACGGTAGATGCTCAAAAACCAGCATTTTCCCTATGAAAAGTGCGAAGATTCGATTATACCAGCTATATATTTTGGGGTTTATACCAGTTATACCCCATTTTATAACCCAGAAGTACAATAAGAGGTTTTAAAAATCCGCCTTTCTATCCACTTTTTTACGTGCCCCGCTTGTAGCTGGACAGCCAATGTCGCACACCGCCTGGTAAAAATATATGGGAAATCCGCTAGGAATCCACAGTAAATGGGTGGTTTTAATGAACAAATTCACTGTAAATCCACTATAACTGGAGGTTTTAATGGGACATCCATAAATTTAGATGCCCCACTGCCAGCTTAGATTACCTGAGAGGACCTAAAGAATCGGATGGTCTAAGAGAGATAGCCTGAACAAATATCTGAACCTTGGCTACCATAGCAACATTCTTGCTTCACTCTGGATAAATGTGAGTGCCATGTGCATATAAAAATTGACAATCACATGATATAGTATGGAAATAGTATTTATATATCTATATAATATAACATAAATATTTTCAATTGTGCAATTCCGCATTTTATATGGAACTATATGAGTGGCGGACAAAATTACTTACTACCTGCAATGGACATGGCCAAAGTGGGTGGTCCCCTATCGGTTGTGAAGGTTTGTACTTCCATGCTATGTGCAAAAATATGTTATCGGAAAGTGGGTGGTCCCCTATCGGTTGTGAAGGTTTTCGCACAAATTTAAAAATCCCATGTCCACTCCCCACTACTTTAGTTTTCCGCTAATTTTGTCGGCTACTCATATAATTCTAACTATAATACACATATATATATACTATACACGATATTATATGATATATATATATATATAATATAGTTCATGCCATGTCTATGTATATATATATATACATAGCGCAATTACTAATGGGGGGGTTCTTCCAATGACGGATCCCCAGGTCACCATGGCTTGAAAGAAGCGACGTTGATCCCAGCGGTCCAGGGACGCTCCTGTAGATCAGCGGTCCAGCGGTGACGCTCCGTTTATTCGATGTGAATCTCATCCCCGGAAGAGAATTATATCTGGTTGGTGGCTGAGCCACCCCTCTGAAAAATATGAATTCGTCAGTTGGGCTTATTCTTCTCAATATATGGGAATATAAAATTATTCCAAACCACCAACCAGATGTATATAGCTGTAGCCGATTATAAAAGGATATAATTCATCATACCTGCATTTTTTGGTACCAAGAATCAATCGATCCAAAAACGCAACGCCCTCGTTTCTGTGGTCCTAAGTGAAGATCCCCTATGGCAAGGTTTTCATGGGAAAATCAACTATAAAGCTATAAATGGACACATGCCATTATATTCATTTGCATTTTTTTGGTATATTTATTTGATATCACCGTTTGATAATTGATTTCACCATTTGATATTTTTTTGATGGATCTTCCACTTCCAATATTTCAGCGGTTCGGGGGTTCGATGATTTTCTGCAGTATGCCACGGAAATTTTGCGACAGTATTCCCACAATGTATACAGTATATATATATATATATAGATATTATGAATTATATTATATATAATCAAATATTTTATATTTTAATATATTATATTATATTATATTATATTATATTACATTATGTTATATTATAGTATAGTATATTATATTATATTAAATTATATTCAATTATATCTTATATTATATTATATTAAATTATATTATATTATATTATATTAAATTATATATATATATATTATATTAGATTATAATATATTTTATTATATTATATTATATTATATTTTGTTATGTTATGTTATATTATTTTATATTATATTATATTATATATTATATATATTATATTGTATTGTATTATATTATATTATATTATATTGTATTCCGATTATATTATATTATATAATATTAAATTATATATTATATTATATTATATTATGTTATATTATATTATATTGTTAATATTATATATATTATATTATATTGTATTATATTATATAATACTATATAATATTATATAATATTATATTATATATATATAATATTATATATTATTATATATTATTATATTATAGTATATTATATTGTATATATTATATTATATATTATATTATATTATATTATATATATTATATTATATTATATTATATTAAATTAAATTATATATTATATTATATTATATATCCCCCCCCTTTAAGGGGGGGGGTGGGGGGGGGTTGAAAACTGAAATATTTCACTTTCGGGGGGGGTTACCCCCCCCCCACACACCTAGAAATATTTCAGCTAAAAATTTCTGGTTTATAATGGTCTCTCCAGGGCCTGGTTGAATTCAAGGCCGAACGTCAAGCTCTGAAACATGTTTGACAAGTTCACTCTCTTATTTATTTTCTTGGAAACTGGCAGTTACCATTTACATCCATTTACCTAGTTGTGTGGCTTGCGCGTCGGCCCTACCCGCGTAAGGACTAAAAAGGTGATTTTTTTAGGGGGGGACCCTGCTAGAACTGTAAAATACCATGGTTTTGCAACTACCCCCCCTCAAAAATTTCACCCTTGTATTTCGGGGTAGGAAACATAAAGGGGCTCCTCGAGCATTGGCAATGGATTTTTTTAGGGGGGGACCCTGCTAGAACTGTAAAATACCATGGTTTTGCAACTACCCCCCCTCAAAAATTTCATCGTTGCATTTTTCTATGTGTAATTATGTGTATATATATAATATATATATATCTATATATGAATGTATGAAAGTATGAATGTATGTATGTACGTTATGAAAGGGTGTGCCATACCATCTCTGGGCTAAAAATGTTGCATCCGGAGGACCCCCCCCCACATTTTTTGGAAGCCCAAAAAACATGTGGTGGGGGGGTATATTTCATGTGGTCAGGTGAAATATTTCTCAGAAATTTCTTGCCTTACCCCCCCCCAAATATTCCAGGGTTAAAGGGGGGGGGATTATAATATAATATTATATTATAGTGTACTATATTATATTATATATATTATCTTATATATATTATATAATATTATATTATATATTTTATATTATATTATATTATATTATATTATATTCTATGATATTAAATAATATTATATTATATAATATTATATTATATTATATTCTATGATATTATATATATTATATATATTATTTATATATATTATATAATATTGTATCCCGATTATATTATATTATATGATATTAAATTATATATTATATTATATTATGTTAGATTATATTATATTATATTATACTATATTATTTATATATTGTATGATATTATATTATGTTATATTATATTATATATATTATATGATATTATATTATATTATATTATATTATATATTATATTATATGATATATTATATTATATTATATTATGTTATATATTATATTATATTCAATTATATTTGTGTAGGGATTGCATCAAAGAAAACGTGCACCTTGTACGGGGTATGATCATCCAAACAGAATGAAGGATTTCTTATAGGATTTTTCTCTGCATCAATTCCTGGAGGTCCGAGCACCACCAATGTGACTCTGGGACCAAAGCTCTGAGGATAGGTCAAATCCAACCAATGAATTCCCCATATCTAGTGTGATGATCATCCACAAGTGTTTCAATGTAAAAGTATGTTTGTGTCAAAACGAGCGCACCGTTTTTTTTTGATGAATTTGAACCATACCTAACTGCTTCCAGAGTTGGTTTGAGGGGAAAGATGCTAAGAATCCAAGAGGGGCTAAAACTGCTCCACCAGTGAGCTGACTCACGCCCTTGTTCAGGCCTGTTCACCCACATTCATATTGTTGCTTAAATATATTCAAAAGAGGTCCCATAGACTATTCACATATATATAATTATATAGTTATATTCAATCTATATATATATTGTGTGTTCGCACATACATATATATATACATTATAATATGTATACTGTATACTATAGCCCCATTAAAAACGTTAATTAGACCGTTATATCACCATACGTGTCGCCCAGCTTCCAAGCCCCGAGTGTCGCGCCATGCTCCGCATGGGAAAATGCGGCACCAAGGTCGGCCGCGCCAACGTCACTGGGCCCATTGGAATGTGATGATCATGAAATTCTGACTGGAATATAGTGTAGATATATCTTTAGATGTCTTTAATGCTTAAATCTTAATTGCACTCAATTCATGCTTCAATGGAATTCACTTCAGATGATTGGATTATATAATAGTATGTATATATAATTACATATATCATACATAATATAATCAAATGATTCACAGATGTAGATTGCTGGTGTTTAAGCCACCTATCACATCCATGACCAGAAAGTGATTGAAAACACCGAGCAGATCAAATTTCGATCCGCAAGAACCTATCATTGTAGCGTAAACTGTGCATTTTGCTACTTGCACGTCCTAAAGAACTGTACTGAATGGCAGGAAACCATTGACTTCTGGAACATATGAAATGCCAACTATATACAACCTTTAGGAAACCTTTAGGACCATGTTCAAACTGTCACTCAAGTAACCGAATCAAAGGTCGAGTTTCTCTGCAGGGATCACTCCTTGCATGTTCTGCGAGACAAAGTGTCCCTGATAAACCGATGATTGGAAAATATCTCAGTTCAAACTTTGTCTCACCATTTCGGATTCAGTGTGTCTATTTGCCTGGCCTATCTTATTGGTTGCCAATATGTCAGAAGTGGCCCATAGCCGTCCTTGGTGGTTCAAGCATTACCATCCAAATTGTGGATAATTTGGCAGGGTTCTGGATAATTACTGATAGATCTCACAGCTGATTTGAGACTACCCTCTGGTAATCAAACCCTCTGGTACAGTAATCTACAGTCACAGTTCGCCATGGAAAATGATTCAATTGTAGATGATTAACCTGCTAAATTCAATCATTTTCCATGGCTTTTTTTTGAACAACCAACTTTGGTCAGGTTGACCATGACTCTGCGCCCTGTTTTCTGCACCCCCTGACATTGGGGGTGACCAGTTGTCTTTCTCATCTTATATTCATGGTGCTGGGTTTGTTCATGACTAGTGTTGGAAAGGAACCAGCCAAGCAGCGCGCCTCCATTTTTCACTCCCTTGACGACTGTTGTGAACCGAACAGTTCGATGTCGTGGTAAAGCGCTGCTCGGTAAAGATTGGTCGGCATGATTCGGATTGAGCCCAGCAGCCAGTCATGACCAGTCATGGCACAAGGTCTGAGGGTATGACGAACAAAACTAGGGATAGTCTTGAGATGTCTTGAGTTTTGACAAGTTCGGGATATGTCCTACAATTATATTATACTATATTACAACTTATTGTATACATATGTACTATATACACAATGTACTATGTAATTATGTATATATATATATACAATATATACATACTATAAATGTATATATATATATGTATTTATATAATTATACATGTTGCTGATACGATTATTTGATTTGGATGATTTTTCATCTCAACAGAAAACCGTTGTTCCCAGTGGACGTAGGCAGCACGTTGTCATCTCTGCAGTGACCATGTGGACCCTGTAACAGAGCAGTAAATGATACTAAAAAATACTAAATGACTAAATGCTGATAAATGCCTACAGTAGATGATCCTATATGCATATCATTTGGAGATAAAATGAGATACATCATGATACATCATGATACATCATGATACATCTATGGTGATACCATGTCAAGGTTTGCCTGGCTCTTCGGGCTGCTGGTCACCCAATCCAACCCCATATGCCCCCGCTAAAACTCAAGAAGCCTCGGCGTCTGTGCCGTGGATTGTTCAACGTTCATCGCGCTGAGAGTTCAGAAACTTGGCATCACATGCAAGATGCACTGTCTGCATCTGTCTACTGTAGATTATTGGATGTCATCTTCAGTCATCTCACACCAGCTGCGAAAATTATGAGTATGTAATGTTTCTGGAAGGATCAGGTGTAAGAGTCTTTATGTTTTCTCCAGAAATTCTGGGATTGCAGGATTGCATCCCTCCAAACAGGCCTGGCCGTTTGATAATTTTAAGCATGGTTTCAAGATGTGTTCAAACTCCTTTTATGCTGACCTGACATGAGCCATGTTGTATCCAGTTGAAGGTTACTTAGTATGAGTTGTTGTGTTGTGTCACCCTCTGGTGCCAAAGACAGTGTGTCATCATGATGATATACTATAGAATGTTCTGTCACTTTGTTCAGCGCATCCTTGGCAAAATCCAAGAACTAAGTTACCCTTTCAAGGCGGAAAAGGAGACTCTATGCGGCGGGCTGCAGCGGACATTGTGCACATGATGGAAGAACTACTGTATTTTTGCCTATCTGGGTGTGTCAGAGATCCCAAAAAGGCTTGATGAGGAAATGATGACAAACATTGACAAACCATCAAATTTAAGGGCGTAGCCATGCGTAGCCTAGTTTCATCCGTTTTCAGACAAAACTGCGCAGTGATCTCAAATCCAATTTATACCAACCGGGGATATCATCTACGCGAACTATCCAATGGTGATAAATTCCCTGCAGACTTGTTGTGTCCAACGAAAAAAAAATGGCGTCCAAAATTGCAAGCCCGGGCCGGCACTCCTAAAGTTGAATTACATGTCTATTATTTAAATCTCATATATATCAAGATATGTCAAGTTTGAGACGGATTTCTCATGGTCCGCGGTGGAACTCAAAACAACGATGTTCTCACCGTTGAACTCCTAGGCGTTGGAGATGACATGTCCCCCTAAAAAGTTGAAGTATTTCTCAAGTAAATCAAACGTGGTAATGGGAAATCCCATTACAAAATGTGGTGCGCATAACATATATATATATTGAATATTATTATTGAATGATCATAAATGGGAAAATCCTCTATAGATAGTGGATTTTCCAACAAACCATGCTTGAATACCATAGGGTAAACTATCCACGGCTTCCCCAGGATTTGATCTAACAGTTTGTGGCGACTAGAAGTAACCCATTGAATGGAGACCAACAACTTGTCATGTTGAGATACGTTGAGTGCAAAAATAGCATTAATGTGTTTGGTAAATCATGTCATGATCACCTATAGATGCACTTAGCCAATTTGTCCTACATTCAGTCAATTGCGTCCCAATCTTACCCAAACCGTCCAATGGATCTTTTCAGCGGAATTGGCTCGCCGTAAAATTGAAAAAAAAACGGGCAACCTCATATCCCTTTCCACTTTTAATGCACCAGCAACTCAATGACCACAGGATGATTCACTGCTTCCCAATGTATCATAGTCTACCCTGGTCCAACCATGCTTTGTAAGTTCCCAGTTCTTGGAATTCTCCTGGTGCTACCAATAACAACAGGGATACATATTCAACATACGGAGGTTTCCTAAAATAGGGGTACTCCCAAATCATCCGTTTTAAGGGGATTTTCCATTATAAGCCATCCATTTTGGGGTACCCCTATTTTAGGAAACCTCCATGCTTGTATCTCCAAATGTAGTGATGATGCAGGACTAATGGCACCAGTGAATTCATGTTCTCTGTCCTGAACATAGTGAGGTTTTCCAGCACGATCCTGAATGCCACCCCAGAATATAATATCAACATATATTGACCGATGATAATATAAAACAATATAACAATATAGTAATATAATAGACTAGATAATATAATGTAATATCATATAATCATATAATATAATCTGACAAAATGTAATATAGTTAATATAATTTATAATATGTTATAATCATTGACCAAGCAGGGGTTAATTCAGGTTGTTGACAAAAAATCATCTGATCACCCGTGCTTGGTTTGGTGTTGTGTTTGTTAAAGCCCGTCCAAAAGGGCTGCTCAAAAACCCGTGAAATCACCACTCTTGGTGCCGAACTTCCTGGGATTTCATCTAATTTCACCTCTGTTGACGAATTTTGGGACGCTTCCCCTCATTTCATGCTATTTTGGTGCTACCCCATGAAAATGATCAACAGCCCAGCAGTTTAAGGTCATCAGCGATGACAAAAAAAACTAGACGACGGGTGGCCCGAGAGCGTAGAGGAGCAGAGTCTTCTGTTGTTAGTATGGAGACACTATATTACAAGATAATATGATAAAGATGTATTATAGGCAGACGAGAAGAGTAGTATCAAGACAATATATGACTAGTACAAGACAATAGTTTGCATCGTATTTTTGTAAAGTTTTTCATACACAGAACTTTTTACAGACAGACGCTTTTGCACACAGAGACTTTTACACACAGACGCTTTTACACACAGACGATTTTGCATACAGAGACTTTTACACCCAAACACTTTTACACACAGAGACTTTTACATACACAGACGCTTTTACACACAGAAGCTTTTACACACAGACGCTTTTACACACAGACGCTTTTACACACAGACGCTTTTACACACAGACGCTTTTACACACAGATGCTTTTACGCACAGACGCTTTGACACACAGATGCTTTTACACACAGACGCTTTGACACACAGACGCTTTTACACACAGACGCTTTTACACACAGACGCTTTGACACACAGACCCGTTTACACACAGAGGCTTTTACACACAGAAGCTTTTACACACAGACGCTTTTACACACAAACGCTTTTACACACAGATGCTTTTACACACAGACGCTTTTACACACAGACGCTTTTACACACAGACGCTTTTACACACAGACGCTTTTACACACAGACACTTTTACACACAGACGCTTTTACACACAGACGCTTTGACACACAAGCACTTTTACACACAGAGGCTTTTACACACAGACGCTTTTACACACAGACGCTTTTACTTTACGCACAGACGCTTTTACACACAGACGCTTTTACACACAGACGCTTTTACACACAGAGGCTTTTACACACAAACACTTTTACACACAAACGCTTTTACACACAGACGCTTTTACACACAGACGCTTTTACACACAGACGCTTTTTACACACAGAGGCTTTTACACACAGAAGCTTTTACACACAGACGCTTTTACACACAGACCCTTTTACACACAGACGCTTTTACACACAGACGCTTTTACACACAGA